TAGAGGTCTTTGTCTCAAAAGCCTAACCGCAAGGCAGCGGTGTTTGGCGAGAAATGTAAACGCATCACCATTTCCATAGAACAAGTCGTCGCATGTTCCATTCCCTGACATGGAGTGCCAGGAGACCTCTAGCCACTGACCAACCTGAGCGACCCCGTGAGTGTCACGGGACACCTCTCCCCAATACAGCTCGATGTCAATAAGTACTCGATGGCCAAGTTTACTGTCAGCGTATTCCCCAAAAATCCGCAATACTTTACAGCCCGTCTCAGGTTAACTACAACACTTTTCAAGTCACCGGTTCAATGGAATTCGGTTGCCAATATGTTGACTCCCGCAGAGATGCAAGTTTCTAGTTGTTGAGTCGTGCGAGCAATCTGTTACTCAAAAGCCCCCTTCATATCTATTTGGCAAGCCCACTTTCAAAGAAATAAGAAGGTGGAATTTAGTTTAACTTCCAATTCTGGCATCGTTAGAATGCAAGTAAGAGTGTGGCGCAGCTAGAAGACAATGAACTACTCAGTTCATACGACGCAAAACAAGTGTTGCGGGCTGGTGTGGCTGATGCGTCAACATGACAGGGCGTTGGATCTTGAAGCTGCGCCAGAACTTTGTTAGATTGAATTTTGGTTCCTCTTGGCCATTTTCCACAATTCAGCTGATCTTGAAATCGACCTTGAGGAAGTAAAAAGATAGCGCTTTGTGAAAACAAACATAAAATTATAAGTGAAGTTAACTGTATGCATAGCTGTGAGGGTTCTAACTCACTGTATTCCCTCATTTGCAGAAAAAAACTAAACTGTATTGTTCCAGAGGCCCAGCACTAACGTACGCAGATGAAGTTTGTTATGACCCGAAAATCAACGATGAAAAAGATTTCACTTAGCTCTCGCTGAGAACTCTTTATTGAGTAAAACCTCCGCATTTTTGGTAAACATGCCTCCTAGGCACTTCCAAACCCTGCATCAGCGTAATTGCTACCGATAATTTATCAGCTTTTGTTAGACAGCCGTTGTTTTTTCTTGCAGTTCTGCTATTGTTGATTTACACTGAGGACTGCTGACTGGGTGATTTTGTCTAGCGCGGAAAACCAATACTGCAAANGCAAAATACTGAGCTGAGTGTTCAGCAGGCTTTGAACCGACTGTGGACAGTTATTGACAGAACGCGTGGCCTGGTGACATGTCCCAAGGCATCATCGCATACCACTACAACGTCTGATTCCAGTCTGTCACAACTGAGTTGGAATCAGACGTAAACGAGTCATTAGCACAAAATACACAAACTGGCTGAATCTGGGTTACGACGTGACTAAACGCGAAGCATGAATATCACATCACTTCACACTATGCAGGAATACTGGGTGCGATGATGGACTTAATGGGGTGCACAACACCTTCAAAGCCCATGGCTCGATGGCAAGCCTGAGCAAGTAGGCCACTAAGACTGGTTGCCCTTCCAGTGTGGCGGCGGATACTACTGATGAGGAATGCAAGTAGCATGCGTTTTTCCTAACTGCTTCGCGTCTAATCAAAGAGAGGGGTTCATTACGGTACTTGTGGAGCTGCTTGGCAGCATTCGTTCACAACTGCATGATAGTCAATGAATATCCAGGAAAGTTCAAGAAGAAGACGGATATTCAGTTTTTAAAAGCAAGTGTATATAAGATGTTTACTTTCGTGTCCCATAGTTTGTAACGCTTTAGCTGGTATTTTCTACTAAACAGCTCCTCTGCGAAGTAATTTCCTCCTTTCGCTAGAAACACTGAAAACAGTGGAAAGTAGTCGGAGACGTGGATTGCAGCCGAAATGGGTGTTAGAGTCCCCGAAACCCATTCTACTCTCCTTCGACTTGGGCACATCTGAAGTTCACTGATGTTAGCCCGTTAAACATGGTCTGTGACGGGAAAATGCGCCTGATGTTGTTTTTCACGGCAAGGCGACCCAGACACTGTGCACCATGTACAAAGGAGATTTCTTCTGTTTGACCACCGGTGTCTTCCAGGTATTGCACAATCGTACGAACATAAGATTAGCAAAACCGAAGCACAGTGAATAGGTCCTGTTACCGAGTTAGTCAATTATCCCATCGGTGAGCTGATTCGGTTGTACAAACTATGTTGGCTTGATCGAACTATCGATTCGCTCGCCATGTCCTGTCCAAAAGGTAGGCAACACATGACCTAGAGACGAAGTTCGAAAAACACAATGATGACACTCTTAGGAAGTGAAGTGCCGATAGAATGGACCATTTCGAACGTTATATTTAGAATTTTTTGCGAGGGCACATGGTTGCCAGCTGTCAGAACGGTACCGCCCGCATTATTCAAATCCACCAATCTTGGTTTGCTGGGATTTTCACACCCGGATTCAAGGCTTCCATGGTGACACCAGGGAAAAAGTGTGTGAAACTCCGAAGAAGAGACAATCATTACAGACCTTAATAGTTTGAGGAGCAACTCGTTGAAAATTCCATGGGAACTAAAAGTACGGGAATGAGTGGCATGGGGACCATTTAAAATTGAAGGGCGCTTCCTATTAGCGAAAGTATGTAGAACTGTAAAATATCAAGCAGACCTTACAGCAGTTCTGAGTGCCTTACAGTAATTCGTTGATAATAGATATAAAGAAAATTGCAGAGAGAATAGGTAGCAGGTACCGTTGAGACACTGACCACCCGTGGACAATACGTTGGCTGCTGGACAGAATCGGCAGGGATGGTTAAAGTGGAGGCAATAGCTCAGATATAAAAGCACCACCGGGTTCACTTATTGACCTGATATGTTTGTGCCTCAAGCCAACGTTGCGCCACGTCTCAGGCTTTTCGTTCATCCTGGAGGGGATGATGTTCGACCACTTTGAAGATACCACCTGCGGCGAATCTTCTCGGGTGATACCGCTTGAAAGACACGACTGTGTAAAATTGATGATGTTTGCTATTTAGAAGGATGCTGGCAGCCAAAGCTGTACACATAATTAGCATTCCGTTCGCTGAGCTGGACAGCTAGGAATCAATTTGGCCTCCGTTACCGGTCGAAGTAACACCGCCCGTTGTACCGTTATTTAGCAGTCCTTACCGCTACCATACTACACAGCGATGGTATCATCTAGTCAAAACCAGATCATCGTTCAGCGAAAAGCAACTCTGTTTACCTCACACATAGAAGCGAATTTATCACTCAACTGGATGAGTTATGCTCACTTTGATCCTTTACAACGTAAAAGTAGTATTAAGGTTACAGGTGTAAAGTTCGTACGAGATCGTCGAGGGAAGTCAACTGTTTGTGCACGTATTGTTATTAAATCAGGTCCGTGAAAACAAAGGCAAGATAAGTGCAAAGCGATCAAGAATACAATTTCTCTCCCATTGTCGGGCGTAGATTCATAACATGGACTTACAAGTGTCAACGAAAGAGACGGGAGATACACACACCATGTTGCGGCTTATAGTACAAAAACAAGGTTGAAAAACGACAGCTAAGTGTTCACCTCTGACACGCATATTACTAGGTGGTTACCTGATGATATCTTTGAAGGCCAAACCCATCGGTTTCACTATATACGGGAGACCATGACGTTCACAGAGTTCTTTCACATACGGCCGCGCTTTGATATGATTGTGTCTTGGCAGTGTGGGGAACAAACTGAGCAGACAGGACAGACAAGAAACGGATTGTGGGTACAATTCGGGGAAAAGCCAGTGGTCAAGAACAGCAACGGCACTAACGAGCGCTTCTCATCTAAATCTGTTCGAGTGTATGGCTACTGGGGAATTCACATGCTTCATAGAGCTTGCAAGTAGCCCTTAAATCCAGCAAGTGTTATCAGAAGTCATAAGCACAGAAAACAATGAAACAAGCATTTGGAGTGCCGTTGAGAATAATGAAAATATCTAGTTCGAAAAACACAGCACCAAACGGTATGGAGAAAAATTCGGAACTTTGGAAAAATAGAACTCATTTGTTTTTTAAAAAAATTTTGTAGTTAAACATGACAATAATAATAACAATGATATGTAGGTTCAGTGAATGGATCTTTGGAGCAAATCTTGGGGTGACAGTAAAACGGCTCATGATAGTTGAGTGTTAAAGGCACGTATTTGCCGACCGGAAGGTTCGCAGTTCGAAACCCGGTCCCGGCGTCTCGACTGCTCCTGTCTAGGCCTGGGTAAACTCCTGATCCCTTC